TCCTCAAAAGGGGCACTAGACAGCGGCGCGCACGCAGTGAGCTGATGTGGATATGACGAGTATTGTGGTGCTCGTTGCTGATCCTCTTGAAGATCCTGGTGCCACTGATACGCACCGTCGAAGAAGCAAAGAAACTTGTTCGCGAGGCAGTGTTTCCGCCTCAGGGAAAAAGGGGATTCGGGTCTCTCTTTGCCCTAGAGAGATTCAATCCAAACCCGACACTAACCGAATACCTCCACCAGGCTAACGATGCCCTCTTGACAATAATCCAAATCGAAACTCGGGAAGCATTCGACAATGTGGAGGGCATTGCGGCCGTCGATGGAGTCGATGCGTCCTATTACGCGCCAACGAGTGATGCCCCATTTCGAAGCATTAGTCCATGTTGGTTGAATAGGATTGCGAAAGCATGCATAACAGGCCTGTACCTGGCTTGCTCTCATTAGGCGAATGAAGTGGCCAAGAGCTGCACTTCGCCACCCAATGTCTCACACCAAATCTGCACAAACACGCAAGAGAGATCTGATAATACGATCCACCATCCCGCCTTCCAGAGCGCCGTTTCGCTGGAACGGATACGTTATCAAATCCCCGTCTTTTGTCTGACTACCTCCAATAGCCCAAAGCGTACAAGCTTCCTCTTCGTCATCTCGTCCTCACTTCGGTGGCACCCATCGCCGAACGTGCCGAGGGCCGTGGAAACAACATGGCGAAACGGGCTTGCTGGGAATGTCAGCGCCGAGGGGTAGTATGCGACTCGGCCCGTCCCGTATGCTCCAAGTGTAAACTTAGCGGCATTGTGTGCCCCGGGTACGAGAACGTGAAGCCTCTGACTTGGGTCGCCCCCAATCAGATCACGACGCGGACTTGGAGAGGCAGGAAGCCAGCAGCCAATAAGTCCAGCGCGCCGAAGAATACCAAGAAGCCCGGCGAAAAGAAGGACACAGCGCAGAGCATATCGGCCGAGGAACAGCTCGTTCACATCTTTCCGGGACAGGAGCTTCGGACAGAGACGTGTGATATTGCAGAGGCTTCATTCTACTGTAAGTTCCACAATGTGTGACTGGATGTTCACCGGCGCTGCCCGACCGTATCTGGGCCTGAAAAAGGTCGAGGATGTAAGCTTACTCTTGGCAGGGAACAATCATGTCTATCCTTACTTTTATGACAATCAGCTGACCAAGAGTCCCTGGGTTGTGCCCGCATCTCACATACACGCCATGAAGCCTTATCGGCGCCATGGTCTGGTCGCGATGGCCATCGAGCACCGCATGTCACAATTATCTCCAACCAGAAATGATCCTTATGCGGCCGAAGTGAGAGCCAGAGCCTACCACCACCGACATACGGCCATTCAAGCCTTAAACGAGGAGATAGCGAATGAGACTACCAGGTTATCCGACGCCACTCTGGCTGGTGTTGTCACGTTCATCTTCGGCGATGTATTTAGCCCCCCACTATCGTCAAAAAGAAACTTCAAAGAGCTTCGAACTAATTCCTTCCAGCTGATGGGTGGTGCCACAGCACCTAATTGGCGTATTCATCTAAGAGGCTTTGCAGCATTGGTAGCTTTGCGTGGTGGATGGGAAGAGTTCTGCCTCAAGTCGCCGCATCTAAAGACTCTGGTTCTGTTCTGCAAAATGTCAGTGTTCACAAATTCGATCCATTCTTTCGTCTCTTCTGTGTATTTCAGGAGCCGATATTTAGCAACTTACTAACTCACTCGCGGATAGTATTGAAAATCTTGCCAACACTACGAGTCCAGCTGACGACCAAGTATCTCCCCTGGATAATTACCGAATACGAGACGTGATAAGAGATGTGTTCTCGATCGGCTACTATCCGCAATTACCATGCCCAATCAATTTGCTCATTCACATCGTCCACATCAATCGTCTCCGTTTCTTGGCTACACTCGAGAACACGGGAAGCTCTGTCGGTCCGATACAAAATGAAGCAGAAGACGTATTGGATAGCATTCTGGACTTCTCTCCAGAGTCGTGGTCCAATGGGATGGAGTCGTCGGTCGAGGGCTTCCTGCTCATGGGTCAGATCTATCAGTCGGCCGCACTACTCTTCGGAATCTCATCCTTGCAGAGTGCCGGTGCAATACCTTCGTCGAAAGAGTGGGTATCTCTCAAGAAAACCCACCGCGACAGACTGTTCGCTGTTCTCGACGAGAGCACTACCTCTAGAGCACTCAAAATATGCACGACATGGCCAATGATTGTGGCTGGATTCGAGGCGAAAGGTGGGAGTCGTTGGATGCGAAGTTTCATTCTGGACCGCCTTGGAGAGGACAGCCGACAACTGGGAATCTATCTCCCAGTTGCAGCAAAAGAGGTTCTGGAGAAGTTTTATGCGTCCGCTGGAAAGCATTGGGATGAATGTTTTGATAGTCCTCGCGCACTTTTTACGTAGAGTCATGGCTACGTCAAATCAGGTGCGGTAACAACCTCTTCAGATAAGCGGACACAAAATCATACGCGTGTTTAGCCGTATAAAAGTGCAAACTGGCTTTCTATTGCTACGGATAAAAGACCCCTTTAATGGACAAATTAGACAAGTTTGGCCCTATTCGATTACAACTCGCTCCAGCTCCCGAGCCTTGCCGAATCAGCGTGGCACACACCTTTTCACAACCTAAGACGCACACAACCTGAGGGGCCTAGCCCCCAGTCCCCGTCCCCGTGATGGCTTGAAACCGTAACTTTGTAGACTAAGAACACAGCTCTGTGGCCTTCTCAAATGAGGTACTGTGGTTTTCGTCAGTTATGATCGGCAACGCACTAGATTTGCTCTTGTCACTTACGGGGATGAACAGGTACGGGACCTGCTCTTCATAACGCTTCCACGCCTCTCCATACTTCCTGCGACATCTTTCAACATCGCGCTTGGTGCGATGGATGATCATAACCATGAAAAAGACGAAGTAAAACCAGGGAAAAAAACTCCTGGTAATATGGTCAGTGACGCGATACCATAGCAGACGAGGCTAGGGGTGTATGTACTTGAATCCGGTGATGAGTCCCCAAGAGAACGAGAAAAACATGTCAGGAACGTAGTTAGGCTTTCTGATGATAGCGAACCAGCCATCAACCATGATACGGTCGCCCACATCGGTCTCGATGACTTTGGGGTTCTCGACAGCTTGCCATGGAACTTGAGGGAAGGTTTTTCGCTTCACAAGCTGGCCTCTTTCTGTATGGCGGAAGGCGTTCTTCTGGCCATTCGCACTATCCCACATCCAATAAAAGAAGAGGTAGGCGATGCTCAGAGCTGCTAGAGCGTAGGGGTTCCACTTGTATTCAGACGGATCATGGTTGGCCAGGTAGATGGCGCAGTGGCAATACGAGAAAGGAACGCCGGCCATGTTCCAAAAGGTAAGAAGAAAGCCCAATTTCTCGAAGTACATGTCCCTGTATCAAACGTCAGCTGGACTGGAAGCCCCATACTAAGAAGAACAGGCTCGGCCACTTACCAACTGCAAATGATCATCTGCTCCGCCTTCGCGCAAGCATTGGCATAGAGATAGTGAGCAGCAGTGAGAAAAACGACTTCCTTCGAGACATAACCATAGGTCTCATACTGGCGGGCTGCAACTGAGCTAGTTGTGAGAAACAGAATGAACCATGGAATTCGGACTTCATAAAACATCTTGAAGTCCAGGATACCGATGCGCGGGTTCAGCTCAGCTCCCATGAAGAAGTCATAGATAGGGTAACCCGTCAATCTGTGAGTTCTTCCACGGATGATGGCCTGAACATAAACGACGAAACTGTTGATGAAGCCGGACAAGATGGCAACAGTCATGATAGAGCCAAAGTCATCAATGATCGTATATAAGGGGAAGACCTTCGTGATATGAAGTGTACCGGCAATGACGATGGTTGCGTAGAAGCTGGTATAAGCAGAGCAGTAATACGGAAGTCTCTTGCCTCCCTCGTGGCGCAGCGGCCTGCCGTAACTGAGCACGCCAGGCATGTAACAGTACATCAGAGCTTCGCCAATGAAGAAGACCCAGTAAGCTAACCAGGCCTTTTTAGTTGGATAAGCTCCTTCATAAACAAGCTGGGCCAGGTGATGAATAAAATCAGACCAGGACTGATTGCCTTCTGGGAGGGGAATCTGGCCATCGTAGTATGTAGCGCCGATCCACATGTACCACATCAACAGCGGAAAGCCGACCATAAGCGCCGAAGTCCCAAAGGAACCGCCGAAGTCGAACTCGTCAGATGAGCCATCGCGATAAGTGGTGGTAGAAACCGTTGGCTTTTGCTTTTCTTTCGCCGTTGTATTGATAGCAGGAGCGGAGGAGCCGCCGTTTCGCTGTGTGACAGCCATGAGTTTGTTGAATGGCGTCTGATGAAAGGGGGGGGGGAAAAGGCTTATGGTGAAACTGAAAGTTCCAATTTGGCACCACTGCATTCAACGCATCTCGTGAAGCTTTATATACAACACGATCACAAGCTCGTATGCAGGTTTCGTGTAGCTCAGTGGACAGTCCAGTCTATCGGGGAGGTATCTCCACGTGGTGGGCTGAAGCTGGGCCAATATCCATGCTTGGCTTCCATACGAACTATGCATATCGGTAAGTCAGATAGGATCGTATGGAAACTTGGGGTTCAGGGGAAATGCATGGATCTTCTGATGCAGGACTCGTCTAGCAGATTGAATCCTCGCGCAAGCTTCAGCGTGTAAGCCAGTGGAGCCGATCCGGGGCATAGTTGGGGCGCTAATGCACGTCTCGTGTAGCACTCGTCTGTGCTTCGAGTCCAAAGCCTGGGGGAGACTTTGTCCCGCGATGCACTAAATACAAGCGAGATTGCGGATGAGTGGCCCCAAATCATTGGCGGGCTAAGTCCCGAATGCCTATCCCTGGGCGCAGCGGTTCCTCAAGCTTGGTCAGAGGAACGGAACCACCTGTTCAGCGGACGTTTCAGTGGCATCGTGTCCAACAAGGGCTACTTCAGGGAACTAAGCATCATGACTTTATGACCTCAATACATCCTCAAAACACCTTCCGGGATATCCTCAACATCTCCCATTCCCTGTGTGATGGAAAAGAACTCTTCCGAAGAGATGCCAACACTGTCGAGAAGATCGAGAAACTCAGCATTCCCTGAGTCTGAAGGTGGCACGAGCGGAAAAAGGTCCACTGCTCCGGTGATCATCGCCGCGGCGTTCGTGTCTGCTTCCATATTTGACACGTTTTGCCTGGCTTCCTCGTTATTCGGGCCCAGATCCATAGCACTCGGAAGCCTGAGACTGTAATGACCGCGGCTTTTCAGTTGCTCTTCAAGCTTTCTGAATAGCAGTTCCACATGCAGCAGCTCAGTCCTTCGCACACCTGCCACGCGGTTCCCTCTCGTGACCATGTCTGATAGAATCTCATGTGCTGCTTGGTTGCTTGTGTGATCTTCAGAGACGTCCGGAAATATTGCGCCTGCCATGGCAAGATGTAGTGCTGCGACGTACGTAAATCCTAGATCATAAGGAAGAAATACTTCTGTACACATGTTAGCCCTCTTGGCCACTCTGTGTTAATCTGGTGAGTTACCGAGAAGACTGTACTCGCTTGATAGTACCTGCAGCGTTTTGGAGGCTGACTTGATCCCCGAAGATATGATGCCGGCTGTATGGTTCAAAATGCTTTCCCAGTCTACATCGGCGACTTTATCGACCATATCCAGCCTTTCCTTCAATATAGAGAGGAGCAGGGGTCTGGTGGCAACAATGACGCACTGATGATACAACAGGGTGATGTGACGCATGCCTCTGGGAACCGTATCGACAGAAGCTTGAAATTTGACCTTCATGATGTTTTCCAGCTCTTGCGCGTACTGGGCCAGAGTGTGCAACGTTGACTTTGTCTGCTCGACATAAGTTGCCAGGGATGTTTTCGTTGGTTTGTAGACGGCTGATCATCAGTGTCAGTGCATTTCTTGAAATCCCCGTTCCCTTAGACCTACTTCTTAGTATCATAGACATTAAATGAGAGAGTTTAACTTGAAGACTTCGCAGGCTGTCTGCGTGAGAACCGTGGTCGGGTGGGTTGATGGGTGTCGGTATTTCGCTGTCATGGACTGACATTGGCAATCCAACCGAGGCAGAGAAATGGCGATACATGATGTAGAGTGTCCACCACAGGTCACGACACCATGTGACAGTTTCGGCTCCTATTTCGTCTTCCGGGAGTTGGGTGTGCAGGCCTTCCATTTCTGCTACGTGGATCGCTTGACCAAGCTGACAAGTCAGGCTGGCGTATTCGTAGTGTTTTTCAGGCGGACAACACTCACATAGACATGCGCTGACTCTCTCTCATCAATGGAAAAAAGATATAACCCCATCATCGCCAAGACCTCGGTTGCCCTCAGGCTGTCTCTCCAGAGGGACATATTGTCTGGAAGTATAGACATTGCCTGCACAAAGAACTTCCCACCCGGTGGATCTCTTGATTCGGCTGATCCCGGCCGTGAATGGAAGGCAGTCCCAAATGCTAGAACTAACAAGAACTTGGTGAACCAGAGTCTGGATTCAGAGGCCTTTTGAGCAACATGGCCTGAATAGAACTCGCGTATCTGGGCCTCAAGTTCGGCGTCGTCGAAAAAGCGATACGTTTGTCCAAGATGGAACTTGACTGTATTAAAGAGGTAAAGCGCATGATCTAAGGAAGGCAGATACCTAGTGTCGGGAAACTGAGTTGATGTAGATTTCGAAGGCAGATCGTAAATATCACCCTCGAGCATTTGCTTTGGAAGAGGAGGCGCGAAAGACTTCAAATTCTCCCCTAGTATGAGCATCAGCCGCAGAGTGAACGACCAAGTTGACCACGGGGCAAGCCAGACTGATGCAACTTATTAGTTATGAAATTGTGGCTTGATCCTTTCTTTCAACCTACTCCATTTGCGACGATTGTTTCTGGTGTTCTTGATAGTTTGAGAAGCCATCTTGAACGCGCTAGGCCAGATGCTCAATGGACCTTCAGGCTGTTCTCCGGGTAAGAAGCCTGGTTGATCCGCGTTATCCCCATCAGCAGGTATTGTACTTTTTGGTGTACCATCCAGCGTCAACATAGAGTTATTGGTGGCCGGCCCAGCGATGCCTTCGTTCATGGTGACATTGAAACCGAAATCATGGTCGTCCGCCTGTTCAACTGTCATTGGTGACACATTGACGACTGACCGCCTTCTGGAAGGTGTACCAATGTCGTAGGTGTTTGTGTTGGCAGGGTTTGAACTTCAATTACCGATGGGCGCCTTCCATCATGATGTGATTCGTTCTCAAGGGGCAGAGCTGACGGCTCTGGGTTTATGTTTTGCTGTGATGCTCCATTTTGAGGCGACTTTGGACGCTTCTCTGCTCTCTTCCGTAGCTCCTCGAGGTATCTGACATTTCGATATTCATTACGGACATGCTTTTGGCTGAGATAGCACTTTGCGTACGTTTCTGATACCAGAATCTTTTGATCATTGTCGTTGAAGCGGCACCTAACCAAGCGTCTCTCGCAACTTGCGCATGGGTCTTCTCCGTTGCACTTTATCTTACTTCGACGGCATGGAAGGCATCTGGAACGATCTTCAGTGTTACTCTTGCGCCAGTGATGGGAGCGAATGCCTTACGCATTTGAAGTTCTTTTCCCTCTCCGACGCCGTGGTTGAGAAGATTCTACCATGGTTGCGCGTGAGTAGTAGTACAGTCGTGATGCCCTCAAACCCCAATGCCGGTTGCGACAGACAGAGCAGAATGCTCTTCACTGGGAGGGAATCGTGAGCATCTCAGCACAGTTCAGTGGTCCGCCTTCTGTAATGCGGGGAAATGTTTGTTATCTGATGTGGCAGGGAAGGTCCAGATTAGCGGCTATCTACCCCGCGTTTTCAGATGTGGTGTCTCTCAGCCCTCGCTGCACGATTTGGTAATTTCTACGTAAAGCATCAGAGCTTCAGTGGATACTAGAACGTGAACAGCTCCTTAGAGGGCGAGGTGACACATGCCGTATCTTGTTCGGGCTTCGGCGACTTATCATGCTTTGGCATTTGTGCCGCCGTCATTTCACACTTGGTGCTCTTCAATTTCGATGCCCAGAAGCGGTAATGGCCATGAGAGCCTTTGCTTATCTATCGAACCCCAGCATGCGCTAGCAGGGATCGGAAACAGAACCGTGAGGAAGGACCAGGTTCGGATTGAGAAGCCGACATCAGCCGACGGAATATACGGGGGATGGCTGGGCAGCACTCTGTATCAAGGAAAGAAGGACGACATCCGCTGCGCGGTCCCCCAACATGGACTCCACATGGATAACCAGCAGGCTAGTGATCTCCGTCGGTAGTGTGCTTAAGATGTGTTGACGATCCGGCGCCCAATCAACCCCTGCAAGGCGCGATAACGCTTCAAGTCCGACGGCTAGAATGCGCGCAGGATTACCAGAGTTCCTGTGTGGATAGGGACATTTTCGATCGGAATAATAATTCACTATGATAACAGCGTAGCCGTACTTTGTGTTGAGAAAATATCGAATCAAGCATGGAAGATTGTGATAGATTGATGCATAGGTATCAAGGAGAAGGGCAAACCCTCCAGGTTCGGTTACCAAGATCATCACAGACCAATATCGGTTTCTAATCCGAAGTGAACCATTGGGTATAGCACAGGACCTATGATCCCTATTTTGATATCCACATAGACAAGGAACTGTCTGGGGTAATCCGGGATAGTTCTTTCGGAAACCTGCTTTGACATGGCTGGGGTTAGTGCCACAATGCCCCTGAGCAACTTGGATGATTGTAAAGTGAATGCGAGAGCTTCTTAGATAAATTGTCATTATCAAAGCTCATGTTTCTAGAAAAACTTCACACTGGCCTGTTAGTTCATTCATCACATCCTCGGCATAATGTTTCGCCTTTTCACAGCTACAGCCATGGCAGAGACTCACCTAACAATGTCTTAACCAATGTCGAAGGTCCCAGAAAAGCTCGATGAGCAACAGACGGACATTGCCAATGGTGACTTCGGCTCCGAGAACGAAGCCTTGAGGAGACATCTCAGTCCTCGCTAGGTGCAGTTCTTTGCTATCGGCTGGTCCATCGGCACTGCTCTCTTCATCAGCATTGGCTTTGGATTGCTTCATGGAGGAGCCGGAAGTCTTCTGCTTGCTTTCATCATCCAAGGAATCATGATGACGTTTGTCACCAATGCCATCGCTGAGATGACGATCTTTATGCCGGTTAGCGCCTTGGGTTGACCAAGCCTGGGGCTTTATGCTCGGCTGGAACTTCTTCGTGTTCGAAGCCTTTCTGCCTGCGTTTGAGATCACTGCGGTGGATCTTGTCTTGACCTTCTGGCGAGACGACATTCCTTCAGCAGCTGTCATCACAGTCTGCATTGCTACTTGTGGGTTCGTCTGAAGCTTTGGAAGCCCTGTGCCCAACTGACCCAATATTTAGACTTACCAATGCGTTTGGCGTTAAGTACTTTGGCGAGGCCGAATTTTGGCTGTCTGGAGGAAAGCTGATATTGATCTTGCTGTTGTACTGCTTCACATTTGTGACAATGTGCGGAGGAAACCCACAAAAGGATGCCTATGGTTTCCTAAATTGGACTAAGCCTGTGCGGTGAGCCTGTTCTTGATCTACGTTCAACCTCTGATATGAAGAAATCAGGAGCCATTCCTGGAGTACCTCTGGACTGGAACTTCCGGGCGATTTCAGGGGTTCCTGGCCGCACTTTGGCAAGCCAATTTCATTATGGTTGGGCCAGAGTACCTAGCCACCTGCGCAGGTGAAGTTCAACGCCCACGAACGTCACTCAAAACAGCATTTCGAAGCGTGTATGTTCGCTTTGTCTTATTCATCATTCTCGGTGGTATTTGCGTCGGTATTGTGCTGTCAGCCCGAGACCCCACTCTCGTCAAGGTCCTCGGTTCCGGAGAGACTAGCACAAGTGCATCATCGGTCTACGTAATCGCCATGGGGAATATGGGCGTCGATGCTCTGCCTCATGCTGTCAACGCACTTCTCTTGACAAGCATTTACTCAGCTAGCGACTGCTACATGTTCACCGCTATACGGAGCCTGTACGCACTTGCTCAAGGTGGTCATGCGCCGAAGATCCTCTTAAAGACGATGAAGAACGGTGTGCCCATCTACTGTTTCGCAGTCTCGATCGGATTCTCATGCCTGGCATACCTAAAGCTCAGCTCTAGCACGGTCACGGTGCTGAACAGGTAGGTTCGATTCCGGGCACATCCATTAAAGTGCGTACGCTAATGTCCTAGGTTCATCAACCTGGCTACCGGTGGACAACTGGTGACATACATCGCCTGCTGTGTCAACTATCTGTTTTTCTACAGGGCACTAAAAGCACAAAATTACAATCGCAAGGACCTCCCATACTGTGGTTGCTTTCAACCATATGGTACCTGGATTGCGCTCATCTGGCTTGGCCTAATCGAGATCTTTTGGGGCTATGCTGTGTTCTTGCCAGGCAGTTGGGATGTTGGAACATTCTTCAGCAAGTACGGCATGATTCTGCTTTCGATTGCAACCTTCAGTGGCTGGAAGTTGTTTAAAAGCACAAGCTTCGTCAATCCTTACGAGGCGGACTTAATCTGGGCTCGCCCAGCTGTCGACCTGCATGAAAGATTGATGGCTGAGATTCCAGTCCATGGGTTCAGAAGATCATTGATGGAGGTTTTCAGCGCCAGATTTGGAGAGAAGACTCCTGCTGTGGGTTCAATGGCTTGAAGGGCATGGTGGCTTGTAATGGTTATGCCACAGCGTCAGTCGGGGCTGGGTTATCTTGCTTTCTTATGAAGGACAAAATCATCAAGTACTGGGGTTTTCTCTCACGCCATGCGTTGCAACTAGAACAAGATCAAAAATGTCTATTCGTGGCACTGGGGAAATATCCACCCTATTTCCGCTGCTGGCCTGTATATCCAATATTTGTGTTCATGATCCAGCTGCTGATACACCCCGGAAATAATCTGAAAAGCCCAACCTTGCAGCCACCACTGTGTCTCACACCTTTTTACTATAACGGCAAAATGCGCAAGTACGGCGAGCGCCTCTTGCGTCCTTAGTTCAAGTAGTGGAATGAAGTCCTCCAAGGACCTGTAAATCCAAACCAGGGCATCTGCACCCTCCCACAAATGAACCCATTGCGTCGCATCTCGCAGCATATCGATGACGCGAGCATAGACTACCAGCTCGTTGAGGCCCGCTACCTCCGCATTCAGGCGAGCTGCTAGTTCGTCCAAGGAGTTGCCTCCTGATTGATAGCCCATCTCGGGTTGGCTCAGCCGTTGTTGGAACAACAGTCTTTCGGCGCCATGGTTGAGCCAAGGGGCCAAGGGGCTGTCGGAGAGGCCACCCCAAGAATTTCTGAGGATTCCATTCATTCCCTTGAGTACAGCAAGTAGGTCGTGGAAACTTGCATCTTCGTCTAATATTGACCCGTCTGAAGATCTTCGGGGAGTGGCCAGCACTATTTCCTGGTTTTAGTTTTCATCCTGTCATTTGCTCGAATAGCAATACATACCGATGATCACGTTTAATGCAGAGAACAGAAATAGAGGTACACCGTCCTGTTCGCCTGAAAACTTCTCAAGCATCGCCCTGGCATTTTCCGAGGATATCCGGTGATACTCCAGGGCAGCGGACACATAGTGACCTCTCTCATCTGGTCTCATATAGGCCATGTGAAGGGCTGGGATTGCGAGGAGAGATCGCATCAGGTAGGTGTGCTTGAGCGCAAGACTGGGCACAGTGACTCTCCAAAAGTCTCTAAGGGCCGGTGACCATGAAAGCGTTGCGCAAGTAAACGTTGAATATGTATGAAAAAGTTCAAGTTGCAAGAAGTCCAGGTCGCCACCATAAGAACCATTTGAAGATGGGTTCTGTCTTGGACTTGTTTCTTGCTCTGGCGGTCCGGTCGGATATTCGCATTGTAGTTGCAACCTTTCACATCTTGAACATGATGGCCGATGCTCATCACACTGGTTCCGGGAATGTGAGCTTCAATTATATATGGGCGCGATGGTAGCCGCAGAAGAGCTGACCTTGACTTTTCTTCCTTTACAGGTTCTACATCCTGTCCTTGACTTTTTGTGTGATACTCTTTTGCCTGTGCTTCTGTTTCGGTGTTTTTTCGGCTCTGAGGTGCCAGAGGGAGTTGATGTTGTGGAGTACCCGGAGTCCCCTGGAACGTTGAGGTTAAACTCATCAGCCATGGTGATGTGTCGAACCGTGTTGAGAGAGTATGGAAATTTGCAATAGAAGGGCCGAGAGTGGTCTTCTTACGTACGTGCGGAACCCAATACGTGTTTTTAAAGAGCCCCAGCTTTCGATGTACTTTCTATGACTAGACAAGTTCTAGCGTAGCTGGCCGGCCAAATCTCCTGACCGATCTGGCATCGCCATATTTGGTAAATTAAGCGTTTATGAGGGATAGCCTATCTGGCAAAATCTTAAGCAGCGAGGACAGTGGTAACGGGGGAAATGAGGTCCACGGCGTTAAGCTTAAGGGGAAAGCTATGGCAGTCCGGATGAACAGCGAGAAGTGCGACAAACACGAGTGGATTTACACGGCCGCGCCAGTTGGATTCTTGCGCGGGGAAAAGGTATCGCCCCTGATCACTTGGTCTCTACTATTGGTGGGACTTCGTTCAGGCGGATGGTGCCGCGGCCTCAGTGGCTCAGACTTCTCGTACATGAACGAGGTTTGCTTGGCCCCCCTCGTTCTTCGTTTATCCGCACTAGCTCGGACCGTGGCCTTCGTTTACACTTCAAGGTCTTATTTCGGTCGGCATCGCTCGCTGCGTGTGGATTTTCTTTGGCATGCTGACGGGCCCAATTCCCATAATCGTACGCAGGATTACGACTGTCGCGGCCTGAGGAAGTGGCCAAGCAATCCAACGCGTTCTTGGTCTGCTGCATAGCCAGGATTTGCTGGGTAAGGTTAATTTAGAGAAGTTGTCGGCGGCATCGCAAAGATCACGTAAATAAGACTCCACGTAGATGGCCGGGTCAATAAAATCTCACTCCTCAGCGATCAAGTGGCATTTGTTCGACGCATCTGTTTCTTTACGTCAACGTTCACTCCAGCTGCAATTCACTTTTTTGCTGCGATTCGTCTCGACAATTCAACAATCCGAATAAGATGGACGAGTCAAGTGCTCAAGATGCCGCGGCAGCTGCCGCGGCGGCCTTCGACTTCAAGCTTTATCGCTACACGCCTTCCCTCCCAGCTGCAATTGTCAGTGTCGCAGTGTTTGCCTTTTTGACTGCACTGCACACATGGCGCATTTTCAGAGCAAGAGCTTTCTACTTCACCGCGTTTACCGTGGGTGGTTTGTGTAAGTCGCCGCAATCGCGATCCTAAAACGATGATTCGTGAAGCATTGGAATTACGACAGGAGTACAAGATTAACAGTTCACGTATAGTTCAAACAATCGGATATTGTGGTCGAATATGGAGTCACTTTGATACGCTCTCCATCGGTGGCTTCGTCATCCAGGCCATTCTGATTCTCGTGGCACCAGCGCTGTACGCTGCCTCCATTTACATGATCCTGGGTCGACTCATCCGAACTGTCAAGGCCGAACATCTGTCGCTGATCCCAGTCAACTGGGTGACTCGCATCTTCGTCACAGGTGATGTTGTCGCCTTTACCTTGCAAGCTGGCGGCGGCGGTGTCCAAGCTGCAGGCACACTGGACCTCTACGAAGCGGGAGAGAAGATCATCATTGCTGGGCTTTTCGTCCAGATTGTCGTATTTGGCTTTTTCGTCGTCACATCTCTACTGTTCCACGTGCGATTGAGCCGCACTCCGACTGCGACTGCACTCAAGGGAGGCACTCCATGGAGGCGCTACCTCTATGTTCTGTATGCTACGAGCGCCATCATTCTCATTCGAAGCGTCTTCAGAGTGTTCGAGTATCTGCAAGGAAACAAAGGTTATCTCATTTCCCACGAAATCTTCTTGTATATATTCGACACCTTGCTCATGGCGATTGTGATGGCAATCTTCCTCGTTTGGTATGTGTCGGAGTTAGAACCAAAGAAACGGGCACAATCTGTGGACGGTCGCGAGACGTCGGGATCTAGCGACTACGTCTTGGACGAGAGGCGGAAGCCTGCGCCACTCAACGTATGATGTGGCCTAGAATGCCAACTATTGAGGCTTTTGGCGCAGGAAAGACACAACTTGACGACATAGTTAGAGGGTACTTTGGATACCTTAGGATAGAATGTTGATACACAGGATATTCCCAAAAGAATGCCATCACCAATAAACCACCGGTGGATACATTGGCTCGTTTAGAAGTGAAGAAGTGGATGAGTTGCCAGAAATATCGGGCGCATACGCGAGGACCTCGGACTATCGCATTTGGCACTAGTCCGAGCATTACTCGGCAAGTCTCAAAATGATCCCCCGATTTGACCACTCATAGATCAAAGGGGCGTTTTGGCGCACGATTAGCCGCCAAACTGTGGATCTTTTATCCTCGTTCATATTCTTCGGTCTTCGTTCCTCGTTCATTAACCTTTTCGTTCCTCAACCTCCTCCCTTACCAATCGCCCCTTTCGCCTCCTCTCTCGTTCACCCATGACCAGCGCGACCTGCCGACCGTTCCACAACGATCATGCTTCCAGTGGACGGGGTAGCCGAGAAAAGTACCGGTCGCCGTTATTCACGAAAGCCGCATTCAAAGACGACGACGGGTTGTCTGCAGTGCAGGCACCGCCGAGTCAAGGTACGACCACCTCCAAGTGAGAGGTCGCCAAGTTTTCTCTGACACCGACCCTTCCAGTGTACCGAAGAAAGACCGGCTTGCAGAGCATGCGTCCGGCGGGAAGCTGTATGTGAATATGCCGAGGACAGGAGGCGCACAGAACGTGCGACATCAAGTTCTACATTGTCCTCGGCCCCAGACGCAGCGACCAAAGACATATCCGGGCCTAAAGAGAACGCGAAGCTCATCTCCCATACACGACGACAATCACATACCGAAGCATTCGCAGACAAGTTGCCTTGTCCGGGCCCTTCTCCATCGGGAATATCAGTTGTTCTGACACCAGCCTCTCATGCGTCAGGGCCACCCGTTCCGCCTCCTGTCCAACCACCTGTACAAAGCTCTGTCAGACATGACCCTGACACTCCCCACCCAGGCCATCTTTCTTCATCCGCTACTACCCCAATTACTGTCTCAAGCCTATCGGGGGCACCGCTTGTGAACTCGTCCACATTCGGTATTAATGATCTCGCGCTCCTACACCATTGGACAGTATCAACCAGCATCGACATCTTCAAAAGCGCCCCAGTAGACTCCCTTTGGCAAGTCACTGTTCCACGGATAGGCTTTGAACACCCATTTGTAGCTCATGCCATTCTGAGCCTGGCTGCATTGCACCTCGCATACATCAGTGGGGTGAAGAACAGCCCTTACGTTGTTGAGGCAACTCGGCATCATGAAGACTCCATTAAAGGGTTCCAGGATGCCTCCAACGATATCAACGATGAAAATAGCGAGGCATTACTCGCATGGTCGCTCTTGAATATCATTTATGTTTTCAGCATCTCGAAGCAGTTACCAGATCAAGATAAGCGAACCGGCGCTCGTCTACGGAGAGACCGCGCCCTTGGCATGGAGTGGATACCCATGACGCGGGGTATCAACGCGGTGTTGGTTCCAACATACCAATTTTTAACAGATGGTCCAATGAGTAAACTTATTACTCTCGGAAATTGGAACGAACTGGATCCTGGCAATTCACTGCCTGACCTAGTGGATGCCCAGCTTCGTAGACTCTCAGAGACATGGGCACATAGTAATGATTCGGAGACCTATGATGAGGCCTTGCACATCCTCAGGAAGTGCCGCATGTACGTCCACCAGTTCGAATCTATGAACTCCCAAACCCTGGCTGAATGGGGGTTCAATAGAGACTGGGCAGGACCTTTGGCATTCATCCATTTTGTACCTCAGAAGTATGTGTCTTTTTTGCACCAGCGACAACCTCCAGCGCTGATATTATTCGCCTATTTCGGGGCCTTCATGCATGCTCTCGACGATTATTGGTTCTTTGAAGGCTGGGGAAAAGACATTGTTGAGGTGGTCGACGACCTCCTTGGGGACTATTGGAGGCCGTGGATAATCTGGCCGATAGACCATGTTGGGCTAGGCTGAAGCAGCTTTGTTGTGAATAGAGTGAAACTATGGCAGAGTCCTATGGCACCCAACCCCCAATTCTATCCGTCTATCTTGAATACAGGCATCACGCCTTTTTTTTAACACCTCTAGGGATGCATATCTTTTCGACACAGGCCTTCAAAGTTCCGATGTCTAGGCACACTCTTCCCTTAAAGGCGCTGGTGATGGTGATGCTGAGGCAAACTATCCATCTTCCAATGCTGGCCACCTCCTCCTCCAGCCAGGATGGCGCCAATCTCAGCTGGATGAATCCAGTTAAACAACACCATGACGAGGAACATCAACAGCGCGTCGAATATGTAGAGATATCCCTCGTGCTTGAGCAGATAACCATCGAATCCCTGAAGATACTCGGCCGCACGAAAGACGGAACGGACCATGATGAGGAAGCTTCCCACGTACAAAGCATTCATATGCTTCCTCCACGGGATGCTGCTGTTAGAGCGCCCAGTCGGCACGTTGATAATGGCGCGATGGAAAGCTACAGCAACCACAACGAAGAAGCCAAAGCAGATGAGTTGGACAAAGAGCCCTGCGATGATGACCTTCGCGCCGGCCTTGAGGGCATCGAGAGTTCCCGAGGCTTGGTATCCGCCACCTGCCAGCATTGATTAGTGATCTCGATGGCATGAACGTGGAAACGGCTTGTTTGACCTACCTCCGGCTTGGAGGAAAAAGGATAACACGTCACCCGCGACGAATAGCTTGGTGAGCCACTCTTTGCGAACGAGGCAATGTCCTTCTCCATCAAGGACAGTAATGATTCTGCCAAGCTCCATGTATACTGTTGCTGCATACAGAGCAGGAGCTACGAGGAGAAGAATCGACTGAATGATGTAAGGACCAAGGGACCAATTTGGACTCTCCTGGCCAGACTTGGCTCTGGCTGCATAACCAATTACTTGCACTATCCACAGAAGATCAGCACACAATTCCGGAGAGCTTCGGGACTTTGAAATCCAAGCAGGGCTGTTCGGACTTACAAACGCCTCCAACTGCGAGGGGAATCAAAAACCAACAACGCGATCGTATAAGCTGCCAGAAATGAAGGATAGTGGTTGCCAGAAAGACGAAAACGAAAACAACGGCGCCGGCTACAGTCGGATCATAGTGATAGAGTTTGAAAACCGCCGCCTCTGACATGTCAGCGGCTGAGGCATCACGGACAAACAGATCCATTTTGTGCTGTCTCCAAGGTGACGCTTGATCTGCAGCTGGCTGGTATTGTGATAAGTAGCGAGCGAACGTATTCAGCGAACGTTTTCAGGAAGTCCGGAGAGAATGAATGTAAAAGTTGAATAGCCGAAGACATCAAAGAACTACAGAATGGAAAAGCTTGCAACTAGAGAGATTGACGATGAGTTGGTCTCATTACACTGACGGCGACGTGAGGGCTTTTGAACAGTTCAAGTCCAGGAATGAATTTTCATTACTGGGCTCTGCAGATGAAAGGAGTCGTTCATGCGATGGGAGCATCAAACATAGCCTCAAAGAAAACACATGGCAAGGCATACTACGCCGATTGGGATATGGGCCGACAAGCTTACCGGCCGACGACCAAGCGGGTCTCGGGGCATCCGCCTCGGGGCCAAACACGCGCTTTCGGCCCCACATATCGGGTTTCTCGTACTCGTCCCTCGTTCCTCGCTCTTTTGAGATTTCGACGCGCTCACTCCTCGTTCCACACTGTTGGGGCTTTTTCAAACGTGTCAACCCGAGTACTAGCTGAAAGTCGCCAAGGGCTTTATCGCGCGCCGCACCACTGTACGATGACAGCTTTCGCCTATGCCTCGGACTATGGTCCTCATCTGTCACGTTCTGTCAATAGGGGGATTGACTACGCCCCTTTGAACCCAGCTACGCATCATTTGTGGGGTCTGTTCCAGCATCAAAAAACTTCATGTCCATCTCTGCTGCAAGGGGTGCCCAACAACCAACGATGCGAAGTTTTCTCAAATCTGCGCAGCTCGCCAACCTGTCTATCAGGTCACGAACTGGGAACCTCGTTGCAGTAAGAAATCAACTGTAGATCAATGAGCAACACATCGAGAAGTTCGATGTTTATCTGATACTCACAATAGTCACCGCAAACGCACATTGAAAAGGGGATATGCGAGATTATTTTGATCGTCTACTATTTCAGCCAATTAATGCACTTAGTACATTGAGTAACAATGACCATTGTTGGCTTTTCTTTTGGGTCACATATCTTTCACGGCCGTGCTCATGCTTGTTCAGCGAGCCGTCACGACATACGGCCAACAAGACTTGGCTGTGACGCTTCCCCAGGAGGTGGCGTTGTGAAGCGCGTATGAAGTTTGAGTTTGGTGCAAGGAACGAACTAATGGTGATCGCTATGTTATAACAAAGCTTACTCTCATTAGAGCCTGATAGCGGCTGTCCTATATTCCATCGTAGCCAGCCGATGACGTTGCCTTAACAGCTAAGGTACACCGGAAAGTTACAAGAATAATGGAAACAGGAGGTAGTAATTCCTATGTGTGCAGCGCGGCACCGTGAATATAGAGAAAGGCAGTGCTGGCCAGTCTCATTGGCAATGTCAAGGACGCATCGGAGCGCATGATCATGAGCTATGTCTTATTCCATACCTTGACACTAATTAGGGGTCGAAAGTGTCCTTAGAGTTTGGAATACGCGTGATGATAGAATGATATGTAGGTAACCGGTTGATGCAATAGAGAGCAGCTGATGTTTTCAAAACCCATCTACCTAGTGCAACATTTGTACTAGTGGACATATCAGCCTTCGCCCTCGTTATACGTGGCATCACAATTACCTCCAGCGTTTGCTCGCAAATCGGGATTGAGTCTGCGGGGAATGTCGTTTTCTCATTGAAGCTGACAACACCCCCGTAAGATTGGCCGGCTTGGCACGACACAGGTCTTTGCTTCTGGCATGCGATGCCCCAATAGGTCACTTCGGTGAGGACTCGGCAATCCCCTCGAGAGACAATATTTCCGAGAGGACTGCCTTCGACGGCAGCGAACCAATGGAATGCCAAAGAAAGAATGAAGCTAAGCGATGTAGAATGCATGGCGATGGCTGATTAATTGGTGTTGTAGGTTGAAGTTGTAGGTTGAACGGGCCTGAGACAGTGTAAAAGAAAAGTTTGTTAGAAGGACACTTAAGGTAGGTTGGAAACCTCATTTATTTATTAGACTGACTATGTTGCTCCAAGTAATGTTACCGACGACCCTGTCCTGGGACATTCGATTGCCGTATTGGCAGGCTCCATGCGCAACTAGGACTTGCCCCTTATCCAGGATCAGCTAATGAAGTTGGACAGGCCTCCATTATCAATTCAATCTGTGAGATCTTGACAACTTCCAACTTTGAACAATCTCGTGCCTGACGCAAGCAACCCTGGTGGGAGGGTCACGTCTGCCTATCGTCATTAACACGCTCGGTCAGTGCGAAGGCCCCGACAGTTGCTTAGCCCAGTAAACGACTGTTACGAGTCACGATTCGTGGTCCACTCATGACAAGCCTACCGTTCGGTTTCGCAAAGCAGCGAGTCGCAAGTGGACATGCTCATTTGGGAAGACCCGGAAAACACGATCAATCAGTTGCGCTGGCGACGCTCGTCCAGACTTTCCGACGTTCTGGATGCTCAATCACCTGAGACTCACGAATGTCTTTTGCGATACTTCAAGGCACCTTCAGTCACCAAGATAGAGACTTCGAAGGCTTTCTCTGCATGGTAGACTTCTGCCTTGGGTTTATTCACCGGGGCCATTGAAATAAGACTTGAAGCAGGGCGCTGGCAAGGACTAGGAAGAAGCACAATAGACAGTGGGTACTCAGCCGCAGCCAACGGCCCTCCACGCCTCGCGTAATTCAACTTAGTAGAGCTTCGACCAAGACCGCAATGAAATTTCTCCTTCCAGGCCCCTTCCGATCTTAAGCTTATGAGAGAGGATCCTTTCGTCCTATATAATCCAACACAGGTTTCATCTTCCCGTGACCACCGGATTTGCATACCGACGGCGGTGCATTTCCATTTTCATACGTCTAGCTGACGTCGTTATTTCACTCTGAGTAGAGTCTTGTTCGTTCTCACACGCGATATCGCGCGGAGTCAGGAAACCAATTGTAGGTGTTCGGTGCAAGTGCGCCTCGGCGAAGCTGTCCAACTTGGAGTTATCGTTTCAGATCCCAAGACAGGAGTTCAATGAGGACAAAGCAGCAGGATGTGTCCGTAGTTTCCAGGGCCCAGCCCAGAAATGTATCCGCGTCGCTTAGTGTAAACTTTCTTTTCGCCCATCAGGCGGTGGAAGGTAAGGGCAACCAACTGGAACGGACGAAAGTTCAGGGATGCCCTTGGCATCGTATGCCCGGACAATTCCGCACTTAATGTTGCGGAATGACCCGGGCAGGGAAGAGCTGAGGCAGGTGTACCACGAACGTGAACTGAATTCTTGATTTCAAAATATTGCTCATTGACATGCAAAGCGGTCACTCGCCTTGCACGACAATAGTGGAGCTGAGCTTCGGACTGAACCCCGCCTTTTCTACAGGAGTCAGTCGGCCTGTTACAGAACAATGAGGAAGGAGAATAAACAGAGCATTGATGATTACTACGCGGCGACCGAAGTCGATCTTGACGAGGAAAGCCCGTCTTGTACGTGAATCTTTTGGGCGGAGAGCGGAAAGCTGGACGCTTTAGGATCCTTAAGGCGTGGTTATAGGACGTATCGACGACATCCGAGGGCCCTTGCAATGTTCTTTCAAGCGCATCGAGTAGGCAGCCCTTTGCGATCTATGTTACTATACACAAAACACATGCGACACTAATAGATAACAAGCTCTTATAACTATTCTTCCAGGCCTCCTTACAAACAAGGAGATAGAGGGGGCAGCTCATACAGTTGACACTAAGCTAAACCCTGAAACCTAGCCGAGTGTCTCCAAAGATGTGCGATGAGTGACAGAATCATCGATTTTCTTTCAATACCATCAGGCTCACACGTTGATTGAACATTGTTGCCGCGCAGAGCCAAGCTCTCATATCCCAAGCTTGACAAGCCCTGTGTCTCAATGAGTGATACACTTGGAATAGTCCTTATTTGCCGGGCATGACTTGACATGGTGACCTCCCCCTGTGCCCGGCGCGCCTGGCTGGACAGGTTGGCCCTTCTGCCTGGTAACTGGATAATGGCCCCAAGTATAGTTCCACTTGTCAACGCGAGATGCGTGGAAGGCCTTCCGATCGTTGATTTTCTCGACGTTGGCGGCATGTTGTTTCGGGTCTCTTCATGGAGCTAGGGGAAGGATGCGTCGGCGTCTCAAGGGTGGTGAACCGACCTCATCGTTTGCGCCGGGATATCTCGCGGGATCGGGATGATTTGCAGTGTCGGGATAGTTCGCGACTTCGGGAGTAGGGTTGTGATATGGCAGAGGATCGATGGTATAAGGGGCATCGAAGTTATCAGGAGCTTCGGGGGCCTCGGGCGCCTCAGGGGCTTCGGGGAAATTGGGCTCCTGTTCCTGCTGTGGGTGTGATGATACAGCTACGGCCGGGACCTTTCCAGTCATCCCTTTTGGAGGTGTTGGAGGTGCGCCTGATGTAACCAGCCTTGCCTCATCCCGCAGGCGGGCTACTGGCACCGCTATGGCCGGCCCAACGATGACGAGGAAGAAGATATTTGAGACAAGCATCTTGTACGAAGGGGGTCTTGTCTCCACTGTCGAGAATCTTCGCAGTTTCAATGGACTTCAAGGATTGAAGGTAACCCCAGTTGTTCTGAAAGATGCTTAGAAAATGCTTATAATATTTAACACAGACGCTGACGGTCTTTTAGCCCTTCGGCACACTGCCGCGGTCACTCAATTGTAACTTACCTCTTCCCAATTAGCCCACATAGCCAGCCAGAAGGGAGAAGGTCAAGCACAAATCCCACGGCTCACGTTCCTCGGGTTTCTTTCCAATGATATTTTGGTTTTCATGTTATTCCCGAACATAGATCACATAATTGGGTTCTGTCTTCATTAAAGGCATGAGGATCATTCCCCAAAATGGACTGACGTAGAGGTTCACGTCTAAACTGCCAAGTTCGCCAGAAATGGAAAAGAAGATGCCATCCGAATTCCTTTCCACGCAGATGAAGCTTTCCGCGCGTCCCACGGTCCACCGAACACAAGCCAGCGATGTCTGGCTC